GCTGCAGTTGTTAAGCGAATCATGAGATCGTTAAGAGAATCCAGCTTTTTCCATTGTCTGTTTGTTGCAAGCTGGCTGGAAAAGTTCCAAATGATGATCTGCTACAACTGTTATAAGGACCAGTTGTAAGTCATTTTCTTCAGTGTTGTTGTAACTTCAAATAATTGCTAAATGGATAGTTCTAAGCAAAGACTACCTGTACAGGTGGCCCTTGGGACTTACATCTCTTTATGCATAACTGTCTGTTATCCAGCTGGAAGCTAGGCAGGTGACTGGACACATGCCTGTTTCTTTGGAATACACTGTCCCTCCTCTGCGGATCAGGAGAGGACTGGAAATCACCCACATGTGTTCCAATGTGCTCAATGTGAGAAGATAGCAGGACAGCAGTTTTCTGTGGATTTGAGTGTTGGGATGTAGGAAGTTAGCACCCACCCCTCTCCTAGAAAATGAAATATTTTAGGAAATATTAAAAGGGCAGAATATTTCCCCCTAAAAGGGAGGCAGAAACTCATCCCCCCCACTTTTGTCAATGGGCCATTAAGGCCTGAGCCAGCTCATCTGCAACACAAAAGACATAATAGGACCCATCTAGCAACAGAAACTCACCACATGGCACTTGGGAAGATTATATCAGCCAGCAAGGCTCAAGCAAGCCTGGGAGACAAAGTTAGCTAAGACTCCCACTCCCTGGGAGTCTGACCACCAATCAGAGTGCATTTCTTATACATGGGGAGGAACAGGCTCAGGCTCAACCCATCCAAGATTGAGTGGCTGTGATTTCCGACGTCCTGATGTAGTCAGCTGGTGCCATCGCTGACTATTGGGGGCGAATCATTGGCCCCCACGGAAAGGGCTCGCAACTTGGGCTTCCTCCTGGATTCACGGCTGTCTTTAGAAGAGCACTTGACGGCCGTGACCAGGAGGATTTTTCATCAGATCCGCCTGATCCGCCAGTTGCGTCCCTTTCTAGATCGGAACTCCCTACACACAGTCACTCATGCCCTCGTCACCTCTCGTCTGGACTATTGTAACACTCTCTACATGGGGCTCCCCTTGAGGTGCACTCGGAGGCTCCAACTGGCGCAGAGTGCGGCCGCGCAGGTGGTTATGGGAGCAACGTGGAGCTCCCATGTAACACCTCTCCTGCGTGAGCTGCACTGGCTCCCGGTGGTCTTCCGAGTGCGCTTCAAGGTTCTGGTTATCACCTTTAAAGCGCTCCATGGCTTAGGACCTGGTCATTTACGGGACCGCCTGCTACCACCAATAGCCTCCACCGGCCAGTACGCTCCCATAGAGAGGGGCTCCTCCGGGTGCCGTCGGCCAAACAATGTCGACTAGCGGCCCCTAGGGGGAGAGCCTTCTCTGTGGGGGCACCTACGATCTGGAACGAGCTCCCCCCAGAGATACGGAGGATCCCGGATCTGCGCACCTTCCGTCGCGCACTTAAACGTTTTTATTTCATCAAGCTGGCCTGGCCTAAATCTTCTCCCCTTTTAAATATAAATTTTAAATACAAATTTTAATCTGTTTAAATTATGGGGTATTTTAAATTCAGCCAAATTATTTAATTCGTTTTTAATCTATTTTAAATTTTTGCATCTCTGTGTTTTATCTTCTGGTTGTTCACCGCCCTGAGTCCTTCGGGAGAAGGGCGGTATAGAAATTTAATAAAGTAAATAAAATAAATAAATACAGGAACAGGAAACTCTAAGGTGGGGCCCAACAGAGGGCATAAAACCAAGGCACTCTCAGCATCTCAGCCCTTTTTTCTGCTCAGGAAGAGTTCAGGAAGCCATGTGATCCTGTTCATCACTAAATCTTCTTTCCAAGCAACTTCCATGAATCCAGTGTCTTTTTTTCCCACTTGGAACTGAACCGAGAAGGATATTTCTTCCAACAGGGAAATGATGGGATTAGCCATCTTGTTCACCACCACAGCGCAGCCTTTTAAAGGACACTCCGTTTACTTTTTAATCACTTTCAGAAATTGCCCATTAATTGTTCTAAAGTTATTAGAGACCTTCAGGAGGATAGGTTTGAAAAGTCTTCCTCAGGTGAGTTTAACTTCAGCTCTGAACAAAAGAAAAATAATTAAAAACTTAAGAATTTAAAGAATTTGGAAAAAAAAGTAAATAAGATATTGATCTAAGAAAGTTATAAACAGATTAAGAGTCCAGATAAATTTGGAATAATGACTTTTTACTGTACGATTTTGGAGATAACATAAAAATAAACAACTTTTTATGGGAAACATGGTTATTTTGGTTATTCTGGAAACTGTAAGTTCATAACAAAAGATGCCAAAAGATGCATGCCAAAACAACTAGGCACAAAGATAGTTTCTTTCCCCATGCCATCACTCTGTTGAGCACCTAATTCCCATAGTACTGTCTTATGCCTAAAGACATTTACCCATGTAGTAGGGTTGTATTGTTATTATCTTTGTCGTCTTCTCATCTTTTTCACCTTCTCATCTTTCCTACTACCTATTGGTATCTTATGATTTATCGCTTGTTGTTTGTATCTTATGTCTATGATTGTATCTTATGATTTATGATCCATGACTTATCACTTTGTTATTTGTACGTACAGTGAGAGCTTCTGCACTGGAGTCAAATTCCTTGTGCTTCCAATCACACTTGGCCAATAATGAATTCTATTCTATTTTATTTGGAAACTGGCCATTAGAGAGGACTAAAGACTTTAAGCAGAAAAAAAACCCCAAATCTGATGTCAATTAATATTGTCATTAGTATCTGGTATCAACAGTCAGCTGGATAGATACTGTAAATTGTTTTGTTGTTGTTGTTGTTTTCTTATGTTTTTCTTCTTATTATTAATCATTTGAAGTTGTGTTTCCCAAGCTGGGTGGCAATATAATCCTTTTAAATAGAAAAATGAATAAATTAATGACTGATTATTTCTGCCTTCAGTCTGCCTAAAGGTTCCTGCCTGCCTGCCTGGCTCTGACTATCTGTGTATCTTCCCCCACCCCACCCCATACACACATACAGCTAGCAAAAATAAAGCTTGATGCTTATTTATTAAACATCAGCAAAGTACATGAAACTTAATTGACAAAAACAGAGCAGAAGCCAGGAAAGACTAAGATAAGAACAACAGGCTAAAATGCATACGATCAATATCTGTATCTCTCATCTCTCTCTTTCTCTCTCATCTCTCATCTGTCTGTCTGTCTGTCTGTCTGTCTGTCTATCTATCTATCTATCTATCTATCTATCTATCTATCTATCTATCTATCTATCTATCATCTATCATGATCTGTCAAAAGTTCACAGAACTTTCCAGAGCCATTGGAAACAATCCTGTAAGTTATTACCAGTGGTGGGATTCAGCCAGTTCGCACCACTTCGGGAGAACCGGTTGTTAACTGTCTGAGCAGTTTGGCAAACTGGTTATTGGAAGAAATCATTAGGGCAGAGAACCGGTTGTTAAATTACTTGAATCCCACCACTGGTTATTACCATAGACAATCCCACAGGAATGGACTATAGTTTTTTCAGTTTCAACTCATTTACGTGCAACATTAACAAATTTGATGTAATTTGATGTAAATAAGCAATATATCTCCTGTCGTCTGGATAATATCATCTTCAAATGGAAATATACATACCGTATATAAAATGATCGCTCGGTCTGAAAACATTTCTTGGGCTTCTGTGGTTTTTCCCCCCCTATTTTCTGGTTTCACATTGCCACCCAGTGGCCCAAATATAATGAGCAGAAGGTAATTTTAGTCATCCCTTCAGAAGACATTTTACCTTCCATAAGAAACCTGTTATAGAAGGTGGCACTCCTGCCCCCTTCTTAACTCTGACCAGACTTCCTGAATTAATCTAGATTCTAGAAGGTCTGAAGGGCAACTGTTCATGTTTTTTTTTTTTGTAAAAACAAGCAAAGGCATATTGCAGAGGCCCCCAGTTTTTTTAAGTTGCAAATTTTGAGAGCATGTTAAGGGTATACTCTCAAAATGCTTGCCCCCGAACATGACATACATACATACATACATACATACATACATACATACATATTTCATTGGATCACATGCAGTATGAGAAAATTGAAAACACAAGGATTGGGTGACATAAGAAAAATATTGCAAGATTTGAGCAGTTTAGACAAGAGCGAAAGGCTCTTCGGTAGAGCAAAATGTTCTTAATCCTTGGCAGTATTTTACAACTCTACAATGTTTCTGTTTTTGTTACTGTGAAGAACTTAATGTGAATGTGAGGTGAAGAAAAATGACTAGGAGTTCAGGATTTCTTGCAGATTGCTCCAGGCTTTCAGGAGTCATTAAGAGTCTATTAAGTTTAATAAATTATTACATTTTGCAAAGGGAGTTGATTTCATAAAAGTCTTTTGTCAGCTGAAAGAGGCCTACCTATTCTTCCAAATTTTCTCCTGCCTAATTCATCCCTGTTCTAATGATGTTGTCCCTGATCTCAAAAAATTAATCCAAGATATACCTATTTGATCTTTGGATGGAAGACCAGGAAATATTAAAACTGTATAAAGCAGGAAGTGGAAAAGACAAGCCATTCCAGAAAAAGGCAATGGCTAATCACTTCTGTATTGTTATGGAGAAGGCTACCAAAATGTGTTTGTGAAACAATGCTGTTTCAAAATTGTTGGGGGGAATGGATATCTGCATCTATTTAATAAAAAAGAGTGAGCAATGCAGCAATCACACCAACATTTCTTGAAATAATCTTCTTTACTTCCTGTCTTTTGTGATGTAAACTGTTTTGTGATGCAAACTGTTCTTTGTGAGAGAGAGAGAGAGAGAGAGAGAGAGAGAGAGAGAATAGAAAACACCCCCAATTACAAACAGAAAATATATTCTTAAATGGAGGATGGGTGAACTTTGCTCCAGAATGTATAGAGTTCCTGTCACTTAAGAAAAACCTTTTGCAATACAGAATTACTGTTACACAATCATGACGTCCTGTTGAAAAATGACAGGAGGGAAGGCCATTTTCAACAGTATGTAGCAATAAAGTAGAAAGCTCTTGGATCTGGGTCCTTTTCTGTTTCCTTTGGATAAATCTACTTCCTTAGTCTTGGAGAGAGGCTTTTTAAAAGCAAGGATGTTTTTTTCTCTCTCTCCTTTGACCTAACCCACCCCAGCAAACAGCAATGGAGAAAGACCTGCTTATTGGGTAAGTTGTTTTTAAAGTAGTTTTATTTGATTGAGTAACTCAGGTATATCAGCATGATTTCTATCAACCTCTGCCTCTATCTTTGTCTCTTAGTAAGTAGTAGCTTAAGTAAGTAGTAAGCAGTAGATATAGAATGAGATGAAACAGAGACTTGAAATAATATACATTAGGAATAATAGATTTGGAAAGTTTTAAGTGGAAACTACATAGTAAAATTTTATATTTTTTTCTCCTGATGTCAGGAATTAATGCCAGTTACCAGCTGGGTGTGCTTTTGTTCTTAATAGAACAATACAGCTATGTGTTCAATGTCATTTTTTCACCATATGACCCTCAAAAGTATCTTCATAAAATAATTTTGTACTGTACATTAAACAATCGTTGGCTTCTTTTACTATGGAAAAACCCCATGTTTCCTTATTTGTGTACCAGAGGAATCATTGTCAAAGTAAAGGGACCTCCCAAAGGCATAATCAGTCTAGTCATCTCTTAGCTTTAGAGAAGATCAAGTTGCTACTTTTGATCATGATTTTTTTTTAAAAAAACTTTTTGTTTTTCAAAAAAAATATTCCTTGGCATTTTTTCTTTTTCTTCTTCCAGAGACAAAAGCTTTGTCAGCTATGGAAGTGACAGTCTCCTCCCCCCAAAATCTGCACAAGGTATGGAAACACAATAGCAGCTAGCTTCAAACCCGGGTGTGGGGGGGGGGTTCACACTGGGATTAAAATATTAAACTCCTTGACTGTTTTCAGGTCAAGGAAGCTAGAGGGCCAGAATACTTAGATTGCTGGCTGCTTGATTGCTTCTATCCAGTTCAGGTAGAGGAGGAAGCAGGTAAGCGAGAAGGCAGGGATGGTTAAGTATGAAGACAGTGATTTCAGTAAGAAAGATCCATAGTTGCAGATACCTTGGAGATATGCCAAAGATGGTAAGAACATACAGGAAGAAAAATTCTTTTAGATACAATTTGGTCTCTAATTGTTAAGGGTTATATACCATATTTTTTGGAATATAAGACCACCCCAAAAGTGGGTGGAAATGTCTGTGCATCTTATACTCTGAATATTGTAGCGGGGGGAGTGGGGGGAAGGAAAGGGGTTGGTGCAGCACCGATCAGCTGTTCTAGAATGGGCGGCGGCTACAAACAGGTGGTGGCAGTGAATGGGCCGCAGTGGTGAACGGGCTGCGGCGAACAGGCCAGATGAATACTGGATGGATGCTGGGAGGCAGAGGCAGATTTTTTTCCCCCTTGATTTCCTCCCCAAAAGCTAGGTGCATTTTATAATCCAAAAAATACGGTAGTTAAAACTAGTATCCTAACTAAAAATAAAATAAAAGGAGAAATGTTTCCCCTTTTGCATTTGAGCATGCAAGAAGGGACAGGAAAGAGAAAGGGAAAGAGGAAAGACAAAGAAAAAAAAAAGGAAAGATGGGAATAGAGCAAGGAAGGAAAAATAAGGAAATAGGGGAAGGAAGAAGAAAGGAGAATGAAGAGGGAAGAAAAAAGAAAAGGAAGGAAGGAAGGAAGGAAGGAAGGAAGGAAGGAAGGAAGGAAGGAAGGAGATAATAATGAGAGTGAGGGAGGGTCTCAGGGAAGTCCTACCTTAGCACCTGGCCAGCACAGGTGCCTCCGACATGAGTGACATCGTGAGGTGGGGTGGCCATGCCCACCATAGCCATGCCCACCCCAGTCATGCCCACCCCCAGCCCTCCAAGGTCAAACACAACCCTGATGCGGCCCTCAATGAAATCAAGTTTGACACCCCTGTGCTAAGATTTTGTTCTAGCATTCTGAACTATCACACTCAGTAGTTTCATAGAGAACACAGAACATAGAATAATAGAGTTGGAAGGGACCTTCTAGTCCTGGAGGTCTTCTAGTCCAACCCCCTGCTCAAGCAAGAGACCTTATACCATTTCAGACAAATGGCTGTGCAGTCTCTTTTTGAAAGCCTCCAGTGAGCACCCACAATTGCCAAAGGCAAGCTATTCTATTGGTCAATTGCTTTTACTATTAGGAAATTTCTTCTTAGTTCTAGGTTGTTTGTCTCCTTGATTAGTTTCCATCCATTGTTTCTTGCCCTGCCCTCAGGTGCTTTGGAGAATAGTTTGATCCCCTCATCTTTGTAGGGGCTCCTCAAATATTGGAACACTGCTATCATGTCTCCTCTAGACCTTCTTTTCATTAGACTAGACATACCCAATTCCTGTAACCGTTCTTCTTATGTTTTAGCCTCCAGCTCCCTAATCATTCTTATTGCTCTTCTCTGCATTCTTTCCAGAGTCTCAGAGAAGCCTCTTCCCTGAGATATTGAATAATGGTGATAATAAAGGGAAACTTTGCAAATCCATACAGAATAACATTCAAGTGAGAATATCCCAGCATCACATTCTGAAGATGGCCACCTAGCTGTGAGAAGAATCACAAACTGGTTGTTTTGCTTGCACATAATTTGGATAACGTCTCCAGAAGATACTTTTATTGATAATTTTGAAAACTGCTCAGAGATTCAGGAGAATCAACAAGTTTATAGTCCCCTACTTCTCTCCTGGCAACGTCATCCAACAGAGTGACCAAAACAATGTCAGTGCAAACACCAGTCCTAGAAACTAAATGAAATGCATGATATTTTTTTCTCAGAAAAGGACTCATTAGAGCACAGGTGTCACATTTGTAGCGTCATGTTGCCGTTATGTGATGTTTCATGATGTTTTCCCCCTTTGCAGAGCTGGGGTGGGTGGCCTGTGCATGATGCATCCGGCCCATTGGTTGTCAGTTTGACACCCCTGTTAGAGCATCCTTTAATAAATATGGAATTATTCAGTGTGGGGCAAATGTATAGTTTCCTGGATCCAACTGAACAATAATTGTTAAATTATTTGAATCCCACCACTGCTCCTGACATAATGCTATTTAATGTCAGTGGCCAAAAAAAAAAAAATGAAGCATTTTTTCCCATTCCCTTTAGAAACAGAAATAAAAGAGGGAAAACTGTGAGGCTCTTTTTAAGATCAACAACCATAAAGAATAACAACAAGGAGCCATATGTTAACCCATGACTAGGGCCAGCACATACTTTCATGGCAGAATAATTGTGAGATTTATCAGCCAAAGTAATAACAAAGTCACCTTCCCTTGGACTCATTTTATAATTGTTCTCTATCCCGTACAGTGAAGGCTATGGTAAAATAATGAATGTGGGAAATAGAAGTCTTGATATTGTATTAAACAAATATGGAATAATCCAGTACAGAAATTAATGGTAAAGTTCCGTGTTCACCTGTAACTTTTAGAACTAATTACAGATATTCTTTGCAGCTCTCTAATATCTTATTAGTTTATATTTAAGTAAATATATACTAGCCTTTTTGAAAGTCAGATTAAATGTATTGCTATCAAATATGCTCTATGGTAGATTTATTTATTTTTTTAAAAAAATCCCATTTCTGAAAGATTTTGTCCCTGTAATGGTATTGATCTAGAAACAATGGATTATATTTTATTGTATTGTGAATTTTATAAATCTTCGGCAGGATGTTATTGGGCCTACAGTATTTTAAAATTAAATCCAGAAGAGATGCAACAGCCAGATTTTTAACAATGGTTAGAAGAGCAAGGACTTTTGTAGCACATCAATAATTTGAGATTTTGAGTGCTTTATGTAACATTTTTTCAAATATATGATATAGAAATATGTTATTTCTAAACTGTTTTATTGAATGCTAAATTTTAGATTATATTTTTAGTTAGGTACTTGGGTCTTTTTTTATCATAAATAAATAATCTTTGAACCATACCATCTGAAGACGATACTTATATCAACAGATACATTGTGGTAACTGATTAGTTAAGTAGTCCTAAATCATAGGAATTGCATTTTGAGAAGATTGTTACTTAATTGATCCTTCCTTAATTGCTTAAGGAAAAGTATCATTGGAACTAATGTGTGCGAATAATTTTGCTACTCATCTAGTCCTAATTGATAAGCCACCACAGTAATAATTTATTTCTAACTGTTTGCTCTAACCCTAAGGATAATATCATGACATTAATTTTATTGTTGGAGATCAATGGAGAGAGATATTTTATGTCCCTCTGTGTCTTTGATTTGTCTCCAAAGATGCTATTTGGGGAGATAATTTTCCACCCACAATTGTGAGTGCTTGAAATATGCTGCTATTATCCTAATATAGCAGGTCCTGCTACTATTATCCTAATATAGCAGGCTCCAGAATTCAGATTTATCTTCTTTTCAAGCAAGAGATAACCTTACTGTTTTATTTGGCTTGTTTGAAGTTGCTTAGACTTGTGTAGCAATTTAGAAGATTCCTTTTTTCCCCGCCAACATGAATGAGCAAACTAATTTAATTGCTAGGCATCTTTTTCTTTATATAACTATTAAAAAGTGAAATAAGCTCCAATTTCCTGAAGTGTTGATACACAACAATTAGTTCAAAACTAAAAGTGAGAGATTTCAAACATCTCTCCTGTTGTAAATTGAGTATAGTATATTCTTATAACAGAAAAAACTTGTAATATCTGTTGTCTGCTTCAACTGAACTAGATTAAATTGCATGTGTGAAACTCCCACAGAATCTAAAAACTGTCTATGGGGAAGCTGGAATATTTTTCTTACATTTTTACAATAAGAAAAGATTATAAAGAGAAGACAGTAATGCTGGTTCCTGCCAATATAAACAAATGAATATACCACATAGCAAAACACATATAAAGGAAGACTTATATCTTATGTATGGAAAAACATGTGTATAGGAAAGACAAAATGTCCATTGTTTTAGCTCTATATGAAGAGGCATCTGTTTCAGTATAAATAAGGAAGTTTCCTGTAACTCTAAGATAAGGAAACTTCTATTTTAGCAGACTATGAAAAGAAGGAAGGATTGCACAGGAGGAAGAATTTATGATGATAGAGCAGTTGCAACTTTTGATTGAATAAGCATATTTCTTTGGACTCTCCACTGATCGCATGGTGATTTTTATTAAATTCTCGGCTTGGAAATGAATAAAGAAAAAATAAAGGTTTGATCCTTCTGACAATATGATGAAATCTTTTAAAGATATCTCTGTACAAGCCTCAGTATTATGTCAAGTCTCACAGAACAACATTCTTGCTTTGTTGCACAATACACTACAAACAGTTGCAGGTTTCTTCCTCTTGCTCAGACTTATCCTTTACTACAACTATAATGTGCAACTTCACATATATAATTGACTGCCCTTCAGAAAGTTTCTCTAATACAGTACTCTTTTGCAAATGTTGCAACTTTCAATGTCGAGAAAAGGTGGTGGCGTTAGGCTTACATATTTGCTGTTCCCTTGGCCTTTCAAAACACTTTGATTGTAGCAACAGCAAATTTACTCATGTTATTTGAGAGTCCTTTACATGCAGAGTATATGTGGAATATTCCATACACCATAGAGGGTACTTAGAATGCTTAGAATACAGCAGGCATGCTAGGTATGTGAGAAGAGAGCTTAAATTCAAACTTCTTTTGCTTATGAATTGCTTAGAGCTAAATTCAGGAGTGGCTTTTAGTGGTCAGAATGCTGCTAGGTTGGTCATACGAAAAGCAAAGCCAGACAGCAGATAAAGATTGAAAGTTCCTCTGGGAATTAAAACTAAGAAAGTAGAAGAACTACTACTATTATTTACGTCGTGATTCTACTTATAACAATGACCACCATAAAATCCAAAACAGGGTGTCGCGTATTTGATGTGATGGGATATCTCGTTCATGAGATGGCCTAAAATGAGGTGAAATGAAATGAGTTGTTTCCCATAGCCTAATTGGAAGATTAGTTACGTGAGTAGTATCATAGTTTACAGAATGGCATGGCTATTTTTCTTTTGCACTTCTGAAAGCTTGGAAAGATTTGTATGAAATAAGACATAGATGGTATATATCGACTTATTTTTTTCATCTGTTATTCAGAAATTTTTGATGTCTTGAATTGGTGCTGGAGCTGGTAAAACTCGGAATACTAGGTTATGCTTTAATTCAATTAATATGGAGGAGATTCCTGTTGGAAAGACAAAGGATTCTGAATTTGGGACTGAAGATGTTTTAGGTAAGGACCAGGCTGCAGCCCTGCATAGGGGTAGCTAAGTCCAGGTTATATTGGTATATTTGCTGTGTCCATTCTTGAAATAAATAGCCTTGACTATGGGCAACACAAAGAAATAGTTGACTATGGCAATACCTGTTATATATCTGCTGAATAATCACAATACTCTCTGTTTGGGGCTACCTTAAAAGTACTTTTGGAAATTTCAACCGTTCAGAATGTTGTAGCAGAATTTTAGTATATGCTTGGTTATGGGATCATAACCATCTGGCTGAAATATTTCACTGATTGTCACTTTATTTCCTAGAACATTCTATGTATCAGAGCTCTATATTGCTTGTGTCCAGTATATATAATTAGTTGTTTCATTCCATCCTTGCTCATCAAGAATAAGTGAGAAGGTTTTTACTTGTATTTCTTTCTATAACAACTTTCTCTGTTGTAGAGACATCTAGTCATTCATCTCTTTTTGAAGGAGCTTCTGCACCTCCTTATGAACTGATGAACAATGGATCTATAGATAAAAAACAAGATTCAGGAAAAAATGGTAAGTAATTTTTTTTAAACGCACTTGACTCACCCGTTAAATCAACTCTACTACTGTATTATCCTTTCTTTTTATTCTTTTCTTCTTCCTTTTTCAACAACAACAACAACAACAATAATAATTGATGCATATGAAGACCAACACCAGCTAAAGAATTGGCAGTTGTGATTTCACATAATTGTGAACAAATAACAACAACAACAATATCTAGTATGGGAAGATGGCCCTCTTTTCCTCTTTTATGTTCAAACATTTGAGGAACATTTCTAGGACTTTGATTTAAATTAAAACCTGAAATATATAAAAGAATTGCATTTTTAGATATTTTGCTTTACAATTCTTAAACAATATTGACAATCAATATGTAATTTTCAGGATAATTTCTTTTTTTCAATGGAAAGGTTTTTTTAAAGTTTTTGGAATATGCAAATGTTCTTATTTAACAAAAACAGTTTTACAGTCTGTAGAAATTGTTTTTATATTTTAAAATTCTATACTAATTAGGTTCTTGTACATCCTACATGTCAAGATTTCCTTCAGTCATTGCCTTTTCATTGATCAGCTAGTCATTTTACCATAAAATAATAAGACTGGGCATATGTTACTAGAAGAATCACTAATTCCTATCATATATCTCATAGTATGCTTGTCCTAATTCCATAATCATACCTGTTTGTAGTTCACATACATAAAATTTTTGTTGACATACTTTCCCCTGGCCCATTTGCCAGCTTTCCAAACAGATAACTGCAATCAAAACAACACACAACCTTAACATGGTTTTCAATACAGTAGATAAATCAATAGAGAAATGGATTTATGACTTCCTGTCATCCTCACTGGATAAACCAGACCAGGAAATCAACTCCTAAAAGACTGATACGACTTTTATTGAAATTCTCTATAACAAAAGAATCTTGCAAATCCAATTGTACTTGTACCTTCCCCTACACATAGCTGTGAATTAGGGTGGCTTCTGCCTGAGCAACCAGTATCTTCTGGACTTAAAATATGTTTCAACCCTATTTTGTCTGATATGCAGAGATCTTCCATATCTGTCTCATGGTTAGCTTCCTGGCTGCCTACAATTCTAGAATTGTTAGTCATCATACTGCTCCAGTATATCTGGAGGACGAACACACATGAACTATATTTGCAAGATTCAATTCATGAACATTATGCAGTGCCTTAAACCACTTATATTATCTTGGAATGGATGTAAAAGAAAAGTAGAAAATTTCCTGTGTTATTTATTATTATTTTACCTCTTCTTGCATTGTAGGAAACAATTCTGTGTCTGATTTACTAGATCAACAGCCACCTCGACATCTAAGTGATTCAAAGTATGATATTATTTGACTACCATAACTTTATTCCGCCATTTTACTCAAATAGACAGGATGACTAACCTTAGTAGTATTGATAAAAACACTGGATAAAATCTTGCATGTATTCCTTACACATGTCTCCCCTTCACATGCATGGGCCCAAGAAACCTACTGTTCCGACAGGTGGGGCTGTCTAACTGAATGATTTTAAATTGGGTTTTAATTTTGGGTTTTAAAATTCGGCCAAAACTATTTAATGATTTTAATTAATTTTAACTATGATATTGTATATTTATATTTTAATTCTGGCTGTACACCACCCCGAGTCCTTTGGGAGAAGGGCGGTATATAAACAAAATTATTATTATTATTTATTATTATTAAACAAGAAACAATGTTTATTCCAATCCCTCAGACCTCATTATTTCTAAGTGCATCGTATGCAATTTTTTTCCTTCATTGTTTTTTTCTTTCATTGTTTACCTGCAGTAAATTTGTAGGTATATATGTGTGTGTCTAGAACACCAAATAGTTCAATGACTCTTCAGCCTTGTTTAACTGTTATCTACCCTTGTTCGGTGATTACATACTTTTCTTTCAAGGCCTAAAATTAATTGAATCAATTATAACCCCATTTTCTTCATTTCTCTTAGTAGTGCTGGAGGAGATGCTTCATACAGAGTACCCAAACACTTCAACCCACCCCTCAGCCTATAAATAGTCTATACAGCTTGGTTTTCTATTCCATGCTGTCATGCCATCAGCATGGAGACAATGTCTTCACTTCAACTGTGCTATTAAGACTATGCACTGATTCTTTCATGATGAAATGAATAAGTGACAGAATCACCTGAACTGCCTTGAAAGAAAAATAATAATCCATTTAACCATTTTCAATATGGCCGGAAAAATTCCTCTTTGCATTTGGAGCCCAGTGTAGGTTGTCCAATGTGGGATAGGTTTTCTGCACTGAATATAACATACGGTGCATATCAACCCTCCCATCTCCCACCTAGAAAGTCTTAGGTATATGTCACTCTGTTCACATCATCAGAGATTCTCTTTTTTTGTAATTACTGTATATGTCAGAACAAATAAGTGCCTAGAATAGCTATAGATTTTCTATATTGATCCCTTTTCTTTATTTGCTACCTATTTGCTATGTCTAGTTTTGACACCAATTAAGCTAAAAACATAGAAACTTTATATTTGGTTTTCCCTAGCTAACAGAATCTTCATCTTAAATCCCTGTAGTTAATTCCAGTGCTCCTTTTAATTTTATTAAAAAGAACTTCAGGACTTGATTTTAATTCTCAAGTTAATATTATTAACTAGCTGGGGGTCTGTCCCGTACAATCCCTTTTTGTAAATCCCCTACAAATGAGGATACTTTTATACATATTAGGCAAAGCTTACATATAATGAATTATCCTTTGAGTAATAGAATACATGAAATCTGGACAAATGTGGTCCCAATTCTGGGCAATTCAGAAACATCTCAACATTGATCCCACCAAATATGATGCTGACATATATGGTGAAATTTAAAAAACTGAAAAACCATTTTCTACAATATTTTATTAAACATCATCTACAATATTTTATTAAACATCCCTCTTTGAAGGAGATGGGCAGTTCAGAAATGTGAAATGTGTGTGTGTGTGTATAACTGTGTACACACACACACATGTATACATACATACATACATACAGTATGTATATGTATATATGTATATATATTTCACATTTCTGAACTGCCCATCTCCCTCAAAGAGGGACCCTTGGATAGTATACAATAAAATATTATAAAATAAAATAAAATTGATGCATTTACCGAAGTTGGAAGTATGTCAGATATCCTAAGCATTTATGCAGGATGCATAGAGTATAAATGTTTATATTGCATTCCTTTAATTTCTGTTTTCATTAAAGCACCTGTAATTTTGTTGCTTTGAAAGAAAAGTAAGTACTGTAAGGAGAATTCAAGAGCCTCCAAAATAACTGGGACACACATACCAAAGACTGGGTGAAAAGGATTTGTTAAGAGAAATATCATTCCCTTTAGTATTCTGAAGAAACAATGGTATCCTTTCCTAAATAAGAGGGCAAACATCTTGTTTCTGAAACCAAGGCGTAAGAGTTAAAGAGTCGGGTTTCAATAAAGGAGAATTTTTGTAGCTCAGATTGAAATGAAGAGTCCTTGCTGTTCTCTGAGTTTGGTTGTTTTCTTGCAGGTATTTCATTACCCAAATTAGATAACATCATCAATGGTAGGCTGATAACATTACCTAGTTTGGGTAATGAAAACACCTGCAAGAAAGCAACCAAGTTTAGAGAGCACCAAGGACCCTTCACAATCTAATCCAGGGGTGTCCAACCTTGGCAACTTTAAGACTTGTGGACTTCAACTCCCAGAGCAAAGTTGGCTGAGGAACTCTGGAAGTTGAAGTCCACAAGTCTTAAAGTTGCCAAGATTGGAGACCCTGGATCTAATCTCTTCTGCTTAGTTTAGAAGATGGAAGCACTCTAAGCAGGCATCCTAAAATTATTTTAGTGAACAGTAGATTAGTGTGGATTACAGGAATTACTGCTTCAGATACTATGATCCCGGCTGCTGACTACACATATCACAGAGTAAACCCAACTGTTCTTTCAAAACAATTTTATCCAGTTCACAGACTGACCTATGATTCTCTAGGTGAAGGAAATACATTGAGGAAAATGAGAATGTTTGGAGAATAGACGTTATGGCTTCATTACATACAATAATTTTGAGGGCTCAGAATATCAGATATAAAGTTTTCTAATAATTATTTCAAACCCAAGTGAAGTTGCATATTGTCTATTTTTTTTCCTAGCACCCTCCTCACCTCTGAACAAGAGATTAAAGATGCATTTCTCCAGTACACAGCAACAAAGTTTTGCTATAGGACTGCCCCTGCAAAGCATTTAAAAGTCCAGAAGCTAACTCCTCTCAACACATACAGAGTACGTACCATAGTTGTATCTAGGGAACCAGACATTTCTTGAGAACTGAACTGAGGGAAGTCTGACCTGAGCTTCAGCAAAGCAGCTCTTAGGCTGTCTCCAGTCAAGGTCTGGATAGGCTAAATATCTAGATTCCCTGACATCACTTCTTGCACTTTCAAGTTTGCCATTTAGCACTTATGAGATATTACTCAAAAATGTAAGTACACCTTCAGTTGAGAACCAACACTGAACTTTAGAGAGAAGGGTCAGCATGAAAAATCTATGTATCCTTTAGAATGTTTTCATTTTAGCAATGAACATTTGGGGTAACTATGTTTAAGATTTCACCACATGTATGTAGACATGTTTGCCAGTGTTATTAATTTCCAATTAAGAAAATGTTTTAAGAAGGTTTATCAAAAAAGTATCACCAGGACTGAGAAGCCCAAACATCTATCCTGGAATTTCCCCATCTTAATAGTAAACACGATATAGATAATATAGGTGTAAATATAGATATTGCAATGATATACCAAAGAGAGAAAATGAAAGACATGTTCAAATACAAAACAATATATTCAAATAAAAAGGAAGAAACATAATGATAAAAAATAAAATATGATTTTATTTTTTAGGCAGAGAATGGATAAAAATACGTCATCAATTTTGTTGTATTCCATGGTTAATAAATTTCAAGATTTCCATAAAACAATAAATTCCATGTTTTCAAAATTGTATGAACATCTTTAAATGCTATATAATGCCTCTTTATACTGACAACATTTTGAGGAAACTGTAGAACAGACCCAAATTATATGTCCTCATCTACTTGGAAGCATCTGGTCCAGGGGTGGGTTGTACTTACCTTTACTACCGGTTTGCAACGGGGCCACGCACGTGCACTCCCTGATGATGTCAGGGTCAGTGGGTGGAGCCTCCCACCAGTTTTACTGCCGGTTCTTGTGAACCAGTCTGAACCGGGGGCAACCCACCACTGATTTGGTTGCATCCTGGCAGGACCAACTGAACTCAAATGCATATTTTCATGCAATTGTTTGGCTACAGTGCAATTGTTTGGCTACAGTTAAGCTTATTGCTTAATGCATTGTAAGCCGCCCTGAGTCTCCGGAGAAGGGCGGCATATAAATCAAATTAAAAAAAAAAAACTCAGAGAAAGATGCAGCTTCTTTAAGGGGGCTCTAAGAAGTGTGGTACCATTGGGCTTTGGATTCAATATGTACACATTCCTGTAATCAAGTCCATGAACTTGTTATGCTATCCTCTAGATTAGGGGTGTCCACTTTGGCAACTTTAAGATTTGTGGAGTTCAACTTCCAGAATTCCCCAGCCTGTCATTGAATTCTGGGAGTTGTAGTTCACAATCTTAAAGTTGCCATGGTTGAACATCCCTGCTTTACATTATTTATTTCTTGAAAGGTCTCATCCAAGGGCACCTACCGGTATTGGTATGTGTAGATGTGTGATTTAAGAATTCAAAATCAATATCTATAAATAAGTTTGAGTTCAAACTTCTAACAACTTAATTGTGTGGGAGCAGTTATTTCATGGTGAATGAAAGAAGTTTATCCTTACTGGAATAATTAAAAACAAAGCAGTAATTGCTTCATTTCAAACCATTAGGGGTGGGTTTTAGAATTTCTCAAAACAAAGTCCAGAGCTAGATTCTGCTAATTGTTGGCTGAGATTTCCACATCAGAAACCAGTTTGCTTTCCAAGGATGGCCATTTCTCTTCAAAGAATTAAGACTTCAGTTTCAGGTTAATGGATTATTTGCTGTTTTCTGTTTTCAGTATCGGTTAGAGACTTTCACTGAAAGTAGAGACACACACTTGGCTAGTGAATGCTACTATGGTGAGTAACTGGGGAATGAGGGAAAATTTCCAGAATGATCCCTTTGTAAGAGATCACCACTTTGAACTTTTCAAGATACTAATCCAAGTAGTCATACTATTGGTTACACTCTAACATTAACATTTAATGGAATCAGAGCAAAGCACAGGTAGTCCTCAACTTACAACCATTTGTTTACTGACCATTCAAAGTTACAATGGTATTGAAAAAAGTCACTTATGATTGTTTTTCACATAACCGTTGCAGCATCTCTTTGGACACATGACCAAATTTTGGATGCTTGCCAACTGGCATGTATTTATGATGGTTGCAGTGTCCTGGGATCATGTGATCACTTTTTGAAAACTTCTGACAAGAAAAGTCAATGGGGAAGGCAGTATTACTAACTTAACAACAGCAGAGATTCATTTAACAACTGTGGCAAGAAAAGTTGTAAAATGGGGCAAAATTCACTTAACAATTGTCTCACTTAGCAACATAAATTTTGGGCTCAGTTGTAGTTATAAGTCAAGGACTACCTGTAGTAGATGGGCCCAAAACATTCTCTCCCTCTCCCCCCCTCTCCCTCCCTCCCTCCCTCCCTCTCCCCTCTCTGTGTATGTAAAAATTAGTAGACTTATTCATTGTGCATTAATATTTTCTCCCATCACACTAAAAAATAGAAAGGGCTTCTGACATCAAACCAAGCCTTTGAGACACTCCGTTTGGCACAGGCTGAGTTAAAGGGTTGGACTCGAATTAGAACAAGCCTGTTTCAGCTATCAAGGTCACTGGATGAGTTTCTTTTCATATCCAACTTAATTGAAGAATTGACTTACTTATCCTGAAAAGGTCTTGAGGGTGAAAAATTGAAAAACAAAAATGCGGTTTAGGAAAACTGTCACAATTTTGAGGCATTTTTCAATTGAGGAAGCAATATTTTACTTTCATTTCCATCAGCAGAGATGTTAATTTCTGTGTAATTAAGGTAAAGGTAAAGGTTCCCCTCGCACATATGTGCTAGTCGTTTCTGACTGAAGGGATCCTGGGAAAATTTATTTTATTTATGTTTATATATCATATTTCGAGACTGCTCATCTCCCTCATAGAATGACTCTGGGCAGTGTTTTTTTTAAATGTGTTTTTAAAAATTGCTACAATACTCACACATGGCATATTATTCAATATTTTTTTAAAAAAAATTCTGTACTGCCTAATGAAACACTATTAAAGCAGTATATCTCATCAGCTGAAGCTATGTGTTTGTCTACTTTGAGGCCAAAATACCTAAAAGAATGCAATTCACAATTGTGCTGTTTTGTTATTTAGTTTCTGATTGACTGAGGAGGGTTGTTGTTTGTCTTCCAGGTGGATTTGTCGACTCAGCTGATGTTGTACCTCCGCCTACCCCCTGGGAAATCCCCGTGGATCCACCTCCCTTGTTTACAGACTGTGAAATGCATATCCCAGTGCCCCACTCATATTCCCTGGGGGTAAAACAAATATTTCTTACTCTTCTTAGAGTTTATGCTGCTTTTCTAAAGTGTGTTCACTAAGGCAACCAAGTCAGTTTTGTGAATACATCATTACCAATTAATGGCTCTTGTTACAGGAAGTGACATCAAATTGTGTTTCCCTGACTCATCCTTATCCATTTGATTATTTGCTTTTTTTTATGGTTACTTTTAAGTTCTGTGAAATGACTTACCATCTCTAATGTGAAATTTGCTTTTCCACTCTCTGATCATTGTAGCAAGAGTAGTTTTTACTGTTTGAAACTCTAAGTATTTTAGTAGATAAACTTTAAAGTTTATCTTTATTTATATTTGGCAAGGGAATCTTCTGGTTTACACATATTATATAATGATAATATATTTATTATTTATATTTTCAGAAGATCACCAGGGTCTTTCCAAACCTATGATTCTATATAGTCTTTCTTATGCATTTTAGTTAGGGAAAGTGGGAAAATTGTCATAAGCAGGGATTTGATTACATATTGTAACAATATGCGGGAATGATCTCAGAAGAGAAGAAGAAAAGCCATAAACTAGGCAATAGCCAGATAAGAACCAGTTGAGCCCAGAGAAGGAATATGGGTGTCAATGTACTGACTGACAAACCCAATCAAAACAAGCACAGCTGAGACGATCCAATCTCTTAATGCAAAATTTCATTGAGTACATCATTTTGGCAAAGATGAGTGCAAAACCAGATCTAACTATTTCCCGCGCAAACCCACATAGTTAAAGTTTAGGTTTCCTCTCCCCCTATTAGACCAGGTCACGTTGTCCAATGGAGTCTCTTGGTATTGTTGTGAGAGAGTCTTTTGGCTCTGGTAAACACCTGCTGAAATGTCCTTGGGTCTCACGCAGTGGTGGGATTCAAGTAATTTAACAACCGGTTCTCTGCCCTAATGATTTCTTCCAACAACCAGTTTGCCAAACTGCTCAGAAAGTTAACAACCAGTTCTCCCGAAGTGGTGCGAACTGGCTGAATCCCACAACTGGAACTGGCTGGAATCTTGATGTCTGGAAGTTATATTCTATCTCTATCTATTCTTTCCCTCCCCCCCATAGTTCGTTGGCAAGTTGAGAAGCAATAATAGTTGCAACATTCTGCTTGACAGCGGGTGTGGCAAATGTCTCAGAAGGACTCCCTAGTTTCTTGGTCTGTACAGATGACAAGGAAAAATGTACTTTCAGACTTGCAAGATTCTATTAATGTCAGCTTACCATAAAGATAGAGCTAATATTCCTGGCTGTGTTTTTTGTCTGACTATCTCATGAGTCTGACACCCTCCTCCTCTCTCTCAAGGTCATTCCCACATACCACTACAAATATAGAAAAAGTTTTTACATGGATGGGGAGCATGGTGGCTCATATGGTTAGAATGCTAGGTTGACAAGCAGCAAGCCTTTGTTTGGGACCTGAGTGCTGGTGTGGGATGGGTTGAACTCCTATCCTTCACTCCAGCTCCTTTAGGAGACATGAAAGGATCCCCACCTAGGTATCCTCCAGGTAACGGTGATGTCACCAGCTAATCTTTTCAACCCGGAAACACCTCAGAATTTCTGACATGAATGCAATGCGATATGCATGGATAATTTATTTGTGTGTGAGCTTTAAGCAAAAATAATAGAACTGATGTAAGATATTAATTTTAAAGATAAATTAAACTTTTAAAGATAAGTTGTTAAACATACTTTAATCTAACTAATAGTAAATCCAAATAAATTCCAAGTAAAGTAAACAGCTACAGGGTTCTAAATGTTGTCTTTTGAACTCTTGTACTAATTGTAAAATGAACCAATGACATTTCATTGCTATTAATAGCCTTGAGTGATTCAATTAGTATGTAATGTCTGGGATTTTAAGTAGAAATTAATATTTTTCTGTAGGAAAATTAATACTCAGTTCAAGGGACAATTGCTTTCTGAAATCATTTTGGGAGCTTTTTCTCTTTTTATTACATTTGTAGAGATATTTAATTAATTCAATTTATATTATTTAGATATCCACAAGACTCCCATCGAACATTTGATATTTGTGTATTCATAGTTGGAAATATACAGTTTTGAAGAAGCCTAAGGCATAGGATGTCAAAGAAAAAAAATATGGACAGGAATCTTTTGTCTTCTTGCTGAGGTCTACTGTTATTTTAAGAAAACTTAATAAAATTGATTCTTGGGCACACTAATTCTCAAGTGAAGTAGGATTATCCTGTCAACAGAGTCTTTCTAATCATTTGCTTATGTGTCTTTTGCTTTACTTTCAGAATTGTCAGAACTGCAAAGGGCGTGGTGCAATTACGTGCCAATCATGTAAAGGAAAAGGCACAGTAAGTCAGCACAAGAAGCATTACAATATTCCTGTCAGGTATCAGTGCTTCCTTTTGTACAGAAATTGTGAGTAGAAGGAATACATGACCATCCCAAATCCAGGAAAATAGGTGATACAAATACAGGTGGTCCTCGACTTACGACCATAATTGTGCCCCAAATTTCCATTGTTAAGTTGTTAAGTGAGTTTTGCCCCATTTTACAACCTTTCTTGCCACAGTTTTTAAGTGAAGCACTGCAGTTGTTAAGCTAGTAACAGGGTTGTTGAGTGAATCTGGCTTCCCCGTTGACTTTGCTTGCCTGAAGGTCGCAAATGTGATCACATGACTCCCCTGTGGGACACTGCAGCCATCAACAACACATGCCAGTTGCCAAGCATCCAAATTTTGTTCATGGGAATACTGCAGTGGTTGCAAGTGTGAAAAATAGTTGTGTTACTTTTTTCAGTGCTGTTGTAACTTTGAATTGTCACCAAGCACATGGTTTGTAAGTCAATACCTGTAACTAGACAATTTGACTCAGTTTGGATCAGGCTTGGGTTCTACTTACCTTTACTGCCGGTTTGCAACAGGATTGTGCGCGTGTGTGAGCGAAGCGAGCGCGTGCACATGCTCTTCTGCACATGCGCAGAAGTGTTCTGATGACTTCGGGGTTGGTGGGTGGAGCCTTCTGCCGGTTTTACTACCGGTTCTATAGAACCGGTGCAAACCGGGGGCAACCCACCACTGGTTTGGGTGGTTGTATTTCAGTTTCAAAAGGCAGTTAAGAGACCTGGTCTTTCATTCATGAAGGGGAGGTGCAAACTGCAGTATGTGTTCTGTACCTGTAGGAAATAATATTTTTTTGCAAATTTGGCTGTTAGCTTTAGATCAAATGCAAATCATGAAGGATTTTAAAAGTGATAGCCAGCACCTTGTAATGAAACCAGAGCTACAGTGATCATACAGTATTTTCTTGAAAATAGAGGACAGCCTGAAATATGGGCAAATCTGAAAGAGGTGGATAAATGATTAAAAAACTTAATTGTTTGTGGCCATAATATTGGTTTACAAGGGAAAATTTGGGAGCAAAATCAAGAAAATTTAGGAAAACACATATTCTAATTAAAATATCTAAAATCAAAATGTACTTTTTTTTTTTTAATTTGATTTATATGCTGCCCTTCTCCGGAGACTCAGGGCGGCTTACAATGTGCTCAGCCATAGCCTTCATCCTTTTGTATAATTATACAAAGTCAGCTTATTGCCCCCACAACTGGGTCCTCAATTTACCTACCTTAGAAAGGATGGAAGGCTGAGTCAACTTTGAGCCTTGGCGAGATTCGAACCTGCAGTAATTGCAGGCAGCTGGTCTTAATAACCAGCTTAATAACAGGGTGCCTTAGACCACTGTACTACCACTTTTTACTTATTGTAAAAAGACAATGCAATTTTCATATTTTCCACATATATTTGAAAGACTGTCCTAATGGCACTATTTATATGGTAAAAGTTAAATAACCCGAAATAAAGGGCTAAAGAGAGTTTCTGAAAAATAAATCTAAAGGACAGCTTTCTGATTAAAAGACTGCCCTTTATAATAGAGGATGTACCGGTATGTTCACTGAATCGTAAGCCATCTGAAAAGAAGCTTATCTCTCAAAGCAGAGCATTGTTCCCTGTTGAACTGAGGGGTGGGCTTCTTGGCTTCCCTTCTGAGAAGCCCTAAAATACTCATTTCAAAACAGCTTTTCTTTTTGGTATCTTTGATACTGGTTTGAATGTCACTGGTCTTATCTCAGGTTTGATGGTTTTTATTGTAGATCCACCAAAAATAATATGGAAATTTAGCTGCTTGTTGTTGATGACGTTATTGTTCTTAAATAAATAAATTTCAGTTTTACTGTGTTTTTTCAAATATAGAAAAAGTGTTCAGCTTGTAATGGTACTGGGTTCAATTCATCTGACAACAGTTCCTGCTCATGGTGTTCAGGCACAGGAAACAAGCGGTAAGCTTTGCTTCAATCCAAACTTCATTTCTATTCTTATAATAGTTTTTACTATAAGTTTTTATTGGGCTGTCATACCTCATCTAGGTCTTTCAGAAAAGATAAATGTGTGGGTGTATTGCAGTGATGAAATCCAATTTTTTTTACTACTGGTTCTGTGGGTGTGGCTTGGTGGGCGTGGTGTGGTGTGGCTTGGTGGGCATGGCAGGGGAAGAATACTGCAAAATCCCCATTTCCTCCCCACTCCTGGGGGAAGGATATTGCAAAATCTCCATTCCCACCCCACTCTGGGGTCAGCCAGAGGTGGTATTTGCCGGTTCGCCGAACTACTCAAAATTTCCACTACAGGTTCTCCGAACTGCTCAAAATTTCCGCTACCAGTTCTCCAGAACCTGTCAGAACCTGCTGGATTTCACCCCTGGTGTATTGATATAAATAAATATAGGTAGAAAGATATATATCGAGAGAGGACAAATGAAAATATACAACCATGATGGTGAACCTATGGCACACGTGTCAGAGGTGGCACGCCGAGTCCTCTCTGTGGGCATGCATGCCATCACCAGCTGCTCTTCTGGTTTCTGGCATGCACATGCGCGCTGGACACCTGGTCTTCATGTGTGCTGGAGCGCTGGAAACCTAAAGACCAGTGGCCGGTGCACATGCGAGCACAGACCACTTGTCTTCGGGTTTCCAGCACTCTGGCATGCGCGAAGACCAACTGGCCAGCACGCATGCGTGCGCCGGAAACCCAAAGACCAGGGGGCCAGCGCCTGCATGTGTACCGGCCAGCTGGTCTTTGGGTTTTTGGCACTCCAAGCGCTTGCATTTGGGCACTTGGTGCCGAAAAGGTTCACCATCACTGGTGTACAACATCATCAACAGTGTAAAAGAATTGAAATGGAAATGGAAATAGACTGGTCATATAGCAAGAACTGATGGCAGGTGGACCAAGGCAGTCATAGAATGGATCCCACTTGATAAAAAGCATCCACAAAAGAGACCTAATAAAACAAGATGCGCTGATGACATCAGCAGCATTGCAGGCCCAATTGGCAAAAGAAAGCTCAGGATCGTATTGCTTGGAAATGTGTGGAAGAGGCCCTTATCCTGCAGTTGATAGACAATGACTAAAATGATGACAATGAGATATAGATACATAAATATATACGAGATCTACATTGTCTAACATTCAGGATTTCTCCTCATGCACTTTCCGCATATTACTTGCAGTAATATTCCTTCAGCAAAAGGAGAATCTAATCAGTGGACTAGGAAGAATAATATTTTTTTTCCCTCCTTTCTGTTCAATCATGTTTGATTCTTAGAGACTGTCTGGGCAAATCCCTTCCTGGTTTTACATTGTATCTTTTCTCTTATGTAGCCATATTATTTAATAATATTAGAAGTTTCTGATAGTGATAGATAGACACCAATACCTTTAATTTTTGCACTTTTATATTCTAAACTGATGTAATTACTGATGGCAAATTTAATTTTGCATTATTCTAGACTACCTGTGAGTGAAATAAAATTATGGTGATGATGACGAAGTTGGTGATATTTATTTACTGTTTTCCAAGAGAGGAAAACTTATAATATCATAGGGTCTAATTCAAACATTGATCTCTCTTTTACAGTTGCTTCAGTTGCCGTGGCAATGGGCGGAATATGTGTTACCGTTGTGACTGGAAAGGCATACTGCTATATCATACTGAACTTTCAATCACATGGTAAGATAGAAAGAATGTTGTAAGTCTCTTTGGTCATTTGGAGGGAAAAATACATGTAAGAAGGCCTTTAAGGGCCATATGTCTCTTTTTTTTTGTCCTGGTAATATATTCCCCAATATGACCAACTCCTTCATGGATACTTGGGTGCATAAGATTTTGGATTACACATATTTTGCCAGAGTGGAGAAGCAAAACCTAAGCATAGTACATAAAATTATCTGCCACAATGTCCTACCTGTCAATGACTACTTCAGCTTCAACCACAACAATACACGAGCAAATAATAGATACAAACTCAAGGTAAATCGTTCCAAACTCGATTGCAGAAAATATGACATCAGTAACAGAGTGGTCAATGCCTGGAATGCACTACCTGACTCTGTAGTTTCTTCCCCAAACCCCCAAAACTTTAACCTTAAACTGTCTACTGTTGACCTCACTCCATTCCTAAGAGGTCTGTAAGGGGCGTGCATAAGTGCACCAGTGTGCCTACCATCCCTGTCCTAATATTCCTTTTTACTTACTCTTTTCATGTATTCAAATTATGTTTATACTTTTACCTGTTATCTTATATATGCTTGACAAAACAAACAAACAAACAAACAAATAAATAAATAAATAAATAAATAAAATAAAATAAAATACTTTCTCCCTTCATCTAAGTTTTAGTTCTTTGAAAATTGTTAAGGGTAGGGTTAAGACCATAAGTCATAAAGCTTCTGATCTCTGGGCTACATGGGTGGGGGTCAGAGGTGGGTTTCAGCAGGTTCTGACCAGTTCTGGAGAACCAGTAGCAGAAATTTTGAGTAATTCGGAGAACCGGTAGTAAAATTTCTGACTGTCCCCACCCCCATCTATTCTCTGCCTCCCGAGTCCCAGCTGATTGGGAGGAAATGTGGATTTTGCAGTAACCTTCCCCTGGAGTGGGGTGGGAATGGAGATTTTACAGTATCCTTCCCCTGCCATGCCCACCAAGCCACGCCCACCAAACCATGCCATGCCCACCAAGCCACACCCACAGAACCGGTAGTAAAAAAATTTGAAACCCACCACTGTGGGGGGCATGATAAGTGTCTTCCAATAATTGAGGAGCTGTGACAGAGAAGAGGGGACTTACTTATTTTCCAAAGCAACTGAGGACAGACAAGACATAATGGGTGAATGCTTGTTGAATGAGAGATCCAACCTAGAAGTAAGGAGACATTTTGTGAACAATTAATCAGAGGAATAGTTTGCCTCCAGGAATTGTGGGTGCTCCATCACTGGAAGTTTTCAAAAATAGATTGGACAACCATGTGACCGGGATGATATAAGGTCTCCTGCCTTGAGCAGAGGGTTGGACTAGAAGACCTTTGAGGCCCCTTCCAGCCTATGATTCTATGTTCTAATAAACCATTTTATTATCCCAATTCATAGCATTCATTTATCTATGACTTCGAGTAAGGCCACTTTAAATCAGATCAAATTATAATGTTAGGATTTCTGTTTAGTGTTCTTTTTGTAAAAAATGGGGAACCTGTCCAATACTAAGTTAGACTTTGTGGCTTAGTTCTATATGCTCTGATATTTTAACATCCCTCCTTGAATATGCCTCAGTTGAATTTGGAATACCATTTTTTCTTTATTTATCTGACTTTTAATCATTGGAAGAAAAATATATTCATGCAGTTAACCAAATGCATTGTCAAACTTATTAACATGTACTCAGTCAATTTCAGCTTTAAATTGACATCATAACAAGCAAATATAACTTTCCCCCCCTCATAGGACGAATAATATTTTAGAATACACAGCAGACAACAAATCTGAATTTCCAGTTTACCATCTGCAGGAAGTAACTGGAAGAAAAATACATAGCGATGAGCATAACTTGGTAAGATATATACTGCCACAAATACGTATGCAAAGATTACTGGAAGAATAAATAGGTGGTCCTTATCCAGCAACCACAATTAAGACTGGCAAGTCGGTTGTTAAGGAAAGTGATCGTTATGTAAAACTGCAACAGTGCTTATGATCTTATTTCAGCTTTCTTTTGCCTTACAGACCTGCAAAGGTCATAAATGTGAGAATTGGTCATAAAATTATTTTTTTCATCACCATAATGTGAGGATTGGTTATAAAGTGATTTTGTTCATCATTGTCATAACTACAAAGAGTCACTACAGGTGCTCACTAAACAGGGCAGTTGCTAAACAAGGACTACCTGTATTTATAAAAGAATATTGGAAGATAGAATGTAGACTGCTCTAGAATGCTAGAACAGAATGCTAGAGTTTTCTTATTGGTCATTCAATCCCTTGTTCAGCTCAAGAATCTATTAAAGCACTCCAAAAGGGATCTCTCTAGTCCATTATAGAGTTTTTCCACACATACGTATAATACCAAAAGTTTCACTTTATGAGCAAGAAGCTTTTTGTATTTTTGTACAGGTAATCCTTGATTTACAACAGTTCATTTAGTGACCATTCAAAGTTACAATGGCACTGAAAAACGTGACTTACGATTGATTTTCACACTTATGACCATTACAGCATCCCCATGGTCACGAGGGCCAGGCGAGGCTAAGCACTCCTTGACGTGAATGACATCAAGTTGGCCATGCCCACTCAGCCACATGACCACCCAGCCACTCCTACCCAGCTAGTCAGTAGGCCAGAGAACCGGTTGTTAAATTATTTAAAGCCCACCACTGATTGGAAGATGTTGACGATTAAATCTGGAAGCTTTTGCACGCTTCTGGCCAACAGCATAGTTTAATTTTGCATGCAATAATTTACACCAGTGTTTCTCAACCTTGGCAGCTTTAAGATCTATGGACTTCAACTGCCAGAATTCCCCAGCCAACATATGTAAAATTGCCAAGATTAACAAACACTGATTTAGACTACTCATGTCCTCTGTACAAAAAAAATAAGACAGCTACATTTTCTTAAACTTTTAGTGATGGATGTATGCTTTTTGGTATACAATTCCAACCATTTATTGAGAGAAAGTTGATGGTTCTATGCAGTCATGCTGTGCAGTAGTTCAGTCCAAAGTGCTAAATAATCTAATTCAAAAGTGTATTTTGTGGCCTTTATCTGCATACCAGGTACGTCCCATAATTGAGTTCCCAGAATCATCCATTAAAGACTATTCAAGGACAAGCATTGCTCAACACAAAATGATGTTTGCTTCAGGTGAGCATCGGATCTTGAAACAGGTGAGTGCCAAAGAGAACAATTGCATTTTAAAAATGAAACATTATTTTCATTTTTATTTATTATTTTCATGTTCACTTTATTTAAAAACCTTCTTGACTTACTAAGTAGCTCTTTTGGGTTTTTCCCCAATATGTTTTGAAAACGTTTGTGTAAGGGGTATTTCAAGTTGATGAAGAATTTATCTTAGATTTATTTTAGCTTATTCTGTGTTAGATTATTCTTCCTTTTCCTTTTGCAGGATGTTTTGCAATCAGATTATTATTATTTTTTTTGCATTTATCAACGTTTTCTTATCCTTTTTTGTTTTTAACTGCTGCAAAGTAATAATAAAGTAAAACCTTACTTTAAGGGACCATTAAGAAATAGGGAATTTTTAACCCCCAAATATCCATATAATCCAACTTTCTATTATCTGCATCAATTTGTGTCAGTTTATGTCACTTGCATAATGTACTTACGTAATGACACAAGTTACTACAAATTGCATAAACAGCAGCATTTGTTTACTTCATAATAAGACACATATAATGGAAAGTGATGGAAATAATGCAGGCTTAGTGAACTATTCAGATTACTTCATATATAATGAATTTAGTCCTTATTTCAGGGGATGTCTGGGTGCAAATTTTGTCCATTGCATCTAAAGCCTAGTAACTCTAACCGTAATCCTTTACAAAAAGGTTTCATTGTCCAGCAATATATAAATCAATAAAAAGAAAAATAAATAATGTATCACTACCAATATTTTATTATGATTTGTAACCTTTTGGTTACAAAAGGTTACAAAGGATCCACAAAACTGGTGGATCAGGCGAACCTTTTATCAGGTTCGCCTGATCCACCAATTGCGTCCCTTTCTGGATCGGGATGCCTTACGCATGGTCACTCATGCCCTCATCATGTCCCGTTTGGACTACTGTAATGCTCTCTACATGGAGCTCCCCTTGAGGAGCACCCGGAGGTTCCAACTGGTCCAGAATGTGGCCGCGCGGATGGTTATGGAGGCGACTTGGCGCTCCCATGTAACACCTCTCCTGCGCAAGATGTACTGGCTCCCAGTGGTCTTCCGGGTGCGCTTCAAGGTATTGGTTACCACCTTTAGAGTGCTCCATGGCTTAGGACCCGGGTATTTACGAGACCGCCTTCTGCTGCCGGTAGCCTCCCACCGACCAGTACGCTCCCACAGAGAGGGGCTCCTCAGGGTGCTGTTGGTCAAACAATGCCGCCACCAGTGGGCCACCAGGGGGAGAGCGTTCTCTGTGGGGGCACCTACCCTCTGCAATGAGCTGCCCCCGGAGATATGGCAGATCCCGGATCTGCGCACTTTCCATTGCACCCTAAAGACGTTTCTGTTTCATCAAGCCGGGCTGACCTGACCTAAATTTTTAAAATTGTTTTAATTTTAAACTGTTAAATAATGGCTTTTAATATAGGGGTTTTAACTGTGGGCCAAATTAATTTAATTGGATTTTAATATTGTTTTAAATTTTGTATTTTTTGTATTTTATCTGCTGGCTGTTCACCACCCCAAGTCCTTCGGGAGAAGGGCGGTATACAAATATAATAATAATAATAATAATAATAATAATAATAATAATAATAATAACAACAACAACAACAACAACAACAACAACAACAACAACAACAACAACAACAACCCTGGGTTGCAGGTATTATTGAGGAAAAGGAAGGTATTCAGACAGAATGGTTTAGCTTTCCATGACAGCTGTGACTCATTGATCTTCAGTGTATGTTCCCCCTTTTCTAGTCTAATGATTGGTATTTAGGGCAGCTTTTTGCAGGCAAAGAAGCTTTTTGTATTTTTGTACAGGTAATCCTTGACTTACAACAGTTCATTTAGTGACCATTCAAAGTTACAATGGCACTGAAAAAAGTGACTTATGACTTTTTCACACTTACGACCGTTGCAGCATCCCCATGGTCACAAGAGGCCGGGTGAGGCTAAGCACCCCTCGACGTGAATGACATCAAGTTGGCCATGCCCACTCAGTCATATGACCACCCAGCCATGCCTACCCAGCCAGTCAGTAGGCCAGAGAACTGGTTGTTAAAGACAACATGATGCTCAAGAGCCAAACTAACTTTTGAGGCAAAAGGCTTCCTCTTAAAAAAAACTAAAATGAAAACTTATTTCCATAAGACTTTGATGGGGAATTGGAATCCATATTTTTCTCATGGCACAGTCGGTCTTAGATAACACAGAAATAATGTTTAGCTATTATTTAAGCCCTTTTCTCTGAAGTGCAAAGGACACACTTTTAATACTGTTAAACATCAAGAAATTATTTCTCCAATAAAGGAGAATATTTGTCACTCAGAATTAATACGAGGAGTCCTTGGTGCTCTCTGAGCTTGGTTGTTTTCTAGCAGATACTTGATTACCTAAACTAGATAACATCATTTAATGTATCATTGATTTTTATTTTAAAATGCACCTAAAAGTCACAATCCACAAATTGGCCTGAATTTTTGTGAAAGTTGTTCTCCTGAAAATATCCCAAAATGTAAATTTTCAAATGTTCTTTGAATTCTTCAGTTCACAAATTCTAGTAGTCTGATCTAAAGATCGTTAAAGGACTAAAACAGTGGCATGCTGTTCTTTTTTCTAAGTAATGTCACATTAATTTCTCAATTGTGTTTATATTATAGAGACATTTGATATAAACACATTCCCCCCCTCCAAAATAGGCACACTTGTTCCAATTGTTTTTGGCGGAGTTAAGTTACATGCTTGTGAATCATGTATGGAAACAGAAATTTGTTGTTCTTTCTTATTTTTGCCTTTATTAAACAACAAGCAGAAAGGAAAGGAGGGGACCAATGAGAATTAAAAAAACAAAAGAAATTAGAGTTTTCCACCAGCATGTTTTTCTGAGATAATATTTCAACTTATGTATGTTGCAAAGATTACAAACTGACAATGATTCTAAATTTGTAATACTTGCATCCATGAATAGTGAAAGAGCTGCTTGGTCAGGGAACTGATTTCCATCACTTGGAAGCAAAATTGGAGGTTGTAGAAATATTCATCAAGTTTCTCTGTCTAGGAATTAGGAATTATGTGTCTACCTCCCTTCTTTCCACAGGCTTACAAAAGGCCCCCTTGTAATGTGGAAATTATTTCAGCCTATATTATTAATTGAAAACATTTATATAACTGCCCATCGTTTCAAACTCTAGGGTGGCTCCCAATCAACATTTAAAACAACATCTGTAATGAAACAAAATATGCATATATCTATTAAAAGATAGCAGTGTTCCAATATTTGAGGGGCTGCCACAGAGAGGAGAGGGTCAAGCTATTTTCCAAGGCACCCAAAGGCCAGGCAAGGAATAATGAATGGAAATTGATCAAGGAGAGATTCAACCTAGAAATAAGGAGAAATTTTCTGATAGTGAGAACAATCAACCAATGCAACAGCTTGCCTTCACAAGTTGTGGGAGGCTATCAAGAAGAGATTGGACTGCTATTTGTCAGAAATGGTGTAAGGTCTCCTGCTTGGGTGGGGGGTTGGACTAGATGACCTACAAGGTTCCTTCCAACTCTGTTAATCTGTTTAAAAAAATCTGTTAAAACCATAACAATTGAAAACTGGCACCAAGCTTCCAGATGTGAAGAATTGGAGGATCAAGATAGTAAGGGGCTTTGCTGAAATACTTTTTGAAGAACCCCTGAGGAACATCTTGAGGTTTTTCCATTCTATTTTCCATCTTTAAAAAATAAAAATAAAAATAAAAACTGGCTTGTTGATGAGGATTGACCTCCTCTTTCCCTTCTGTCAGGTTCCCAAAACAAAGAAAGTCACACTGTGATTCTTCTAAACAGATTTATTTATTATTCCTCACCAATAAACAGATATCATCCCAAACTAAAGCAGACTACTTGTACCATAAAACATGTATCCTGGGAACTATTAGGCAGGAACCATCTTCACCCTCTTTCTCTCACACAAACTATCTAAACTGTGTTGTCTTTTGCTCCTCTGGACTGCACTCCCTTCCTCTGGACAGCATTTCATCACACATTTCCATCCTCAATTTTGAACTGAATCTCAGTAGATCTGGGTCTTGGGATGAAGGGGTGGCATAAAAATGGTGCTGGGATTAACACAGAGCTTGCAAATCATTAATTCCCTTCCTCTTCTTCCTCCACTAGTTATAGGATGCTAAGGGAATGAAATGACCAATACCTCACCATGTACATCAGATTCCAATTGTTTTGTGTATTTTTCCTAAGGAAAAGAAAATATGCAGAGCCCAGCACTCATACACTGGGCTAATACTTTACTGCTTTTTTATTTCAATGTATTCTAAACAAGCAATGTCCTCTCAAGGTGATATTCCAAAGAAAGCAAGACGAGTTACAAACAAGTGTCAGAATAACGTATTGATTGTTTTGACAAAAAATGGTCTGCAAACATAAACTCTTGATTTTCTGTTAAGAGGAACATTGAAGAGACTCACCTGAATGCCTGTACTGAATGGAAAAAGTATAAGCACTTGGAAAGGAATTTCATAACTTTTAGGCTCCTGTTGGGAAGGGCTTGCCTTTTGCATATCCACCTTAGACAGTCTGAATTGCCAATCTTATGTCTAATACCTAAACTGTAGAGTTCACATTGGAAGAGGATCTAAATCAGGGATCTGCAACCTTAAACATTCAAAGAGCCATTTGGACCTGTTTCCCACAGAAAAGAAATCACCGGGAGCCACAAAACCTGGGTGGGCGTGGTCAACTCGACATCACTCCTGAGAGGGACAGGGAGCCACAGCAGGGGGATGAAAGAGCCGCATGCGACTCCAGAGCTGCAGGTTGCAGACACCCGATCTAAATGATCTCAGAAATATAACTCTTTTCTTTTTCCTTTTGCAGAGACAAACGGTTGAACTGGTGCCACTCACAAAAGTTAAATATGAATGGAAAGGCAAACCTTACTTCTTCTATGTCTTTGGCAATGAGAATGAAGTCTATAGCAAAGACTACCCTGCAAAATGCTGCTGCTCAATCTTGTGAAAAACAACCAGTTTCGTGGCAGTCCTCTATCAAACTATAAGCTGTTCCCTGCTTTAATCTCTACAGCATCTGTCCGGATTCTTTTTCTGCAGGGACTATACAAAAAAAAGAATGTTACTATGTGCTCCCTCCAGAGGAATCTGTGCACTGTTTTCTCTGTCCAGAAGAATTTGTGGTTCATTCATTAATCTTATTTATGAGATGAAAAGTGAAGGAAGTTACTCGTTCTAATGCACCTTGAAATAGCATATTTGTATATTTTGCAGTTTCAAATATTTAGATACTTTTCATGAGCCCCATTCAGTCGTTTTTCTACTTAGAGCATTCACGGCAAGAACAGACTGGAGAAGCTGTGCGTTCCAATGATGCTACTCATCAACATTGTGTGTAAATGCTGATTGTGTAAATGTAAATTCCCATGAATTGCTGTAGAGGCAGGCTTCTACACCAGTCAGCATTGTGGGGTCTGCATCTCAGAAATCAATACACATACCATCATATGTACTGTATATCTTTTTTAAAAAAATAGGGCAATTGAATGTTATATTAGTCTTTCCTAATCCGGTGCCTCCAGATATAGAATAGAATAACAGAGTTGGAAGGGAGCTTGGAGGTCTTCTAGTCCAACCCCCTTCTTAGGCAGGAAACTCTACACTACTTCAGAAAAATGGTTATCCAACATCTTAAAAACTTCCAGTGTTGGAGCATTCGCAACTTCTGGAGGCAAGTTGTTCCACTGATTAATTGTTCTAACTGTCAGGAAATTTCTCCTTAGTTCTAAGCTGCTTCTCTCCTTGATTAGTTTCCACCCATTGCTTCTTGTCCTACCCTCAGGTGCTTTGGAGAATAGTTTGACTCCCTCTTCTTTGTGGCAACCCCTGAGATATTGGAACACTGCTATCATATCTTCCCTAGTCCTTCTCTTCATTAAACTAGACATACCCAGTTCCTGCAACCGTTCTTCATATGTTTTAGCCTCCAGTCCCCTAATCATTTTGTTGTTCTCTCTATATAGGATTGTACTTCTGTGCTCGCCAGGCTATATGGCCTTTCCTTTCTCCTCTTTCCAATTGTATTGTAAATTTAAAATCTGAAGTTGATAATCCGTGTATTTTATTAAATGTTCTTCTTTTCCAAGATTCCGATTTACCGTAAAAAGCTACATGCTTTGTAAGTCATGCTTATAGAATTATTTCCTTACAACTCTGTTTTCAGCGTGTAATCATGTCAAAAGATCTTCTCTGTGAGTTTTCTCTGTTTAAGGCAAAATGGTATTTCAGTCGCAGTACTCTAAAACTAAACAAATTATAAATCACAACACCCTCTCTATGTCAACACCAGCTCAGTGAAGAGCTGTGATTTATATCAGAACATTTATTATAGTAAAGCAAACATTTGCCACGGTTTATTTGTTAGCTCCCATTTATCCCATGAATAAAGATTTCAGCACTGTTTTGATAAAGTGTGGCATCTTGTTTCTTACTTTTTTAAAAAACATATATTTGTCTGGATATTTTTATTTATGCTTTATTATTTTACGGTGCAATAATAGTGTTTTTCCCCAAATGTTGCTCCTTTTCAAAAGTAGATAAATAAAAGACAATGTTATCAGAAACTAACAGGCTGCTTTGTTTTGTTCTATTTATATAGCACTGTTAGAACAAGTTTAAGGATGTGAGCATAATTGCCTAATCAGGCTTTCAAAGGAGAAAAAAAAACACTAGGATGACGGGTATTAATGCCAGAAAAGCATTTGCAGATGGTACCAGTTGAAAAGTATTATGTGAGTGAGATGGGTGGTTTCCAAATTTGATACAGAAATAATTCAATAAAATAAATACGTTCCTTAAATATCCAGCACATCGTAGTGTTTAAAGCATTCGGGGAGACCCTGGTTTAAGTCCTCACTCTACCATGAAGCTCATTAGATGCATCTCTAGCTCAATGTTTAACCTGGTAAAGGAAGTTCCTCCCTGCTTGCTTCAGACAAGTAAAGTCAATGAGGGAAGCCAGATTTGCTTAACAACCATGGGATTGCTGTGATTCACTTAACAACGGTGGCAAAAAAAGCTTGTAAAATTGGATGCAACTCACTGAACATTTGTCTTGATTAGCAAAAGAAATTCTGGACCCAGTATTGGTCATAAATCAAAGACTACTTGCATTAGGCAACTATTGCTACTTCTGTTCATAGTAAGTAATATACAGTGAAATAATATTTCATGGCATCTATACTTTTTTATGGTATGTGACAGTCATGTATATTTGATATGGGAAATTCAAATGCATTATTTCTGTTAAAGCATTTATATTCCTCCTTTCATGTCAAGTTTTCAGAATTGCAATAATCTATTGCAATTTCTCATAAGTAACATGAAAGAACAATTTGTGGCACTTTTCTGACATTTGCAAGTAACGTTTTTAACAGCATTTGACACACAATAATAAAATGTGGATAATTTGACACAGAAGACATAAATAACTGGAGTGGAATTGGAGAAATAGCCTTTTTTAGTCTTTGAAAGAGGCAAATTCACCATAGGAATTTTGTATTTTTTAAAAATACAATCATATGATAAATGGTATTACAGGTAGTCCTCAATTTACAACCACAATTGAGTCCAAAATTTATGTTGTTAAGTGAGAAAGTTGTTAAGTGAGTTTTGCCCCATTTTACGACATTTCTTGCCACATTTGGTAAGTAAAACACTGCAGTTGTTAAATTAGTAATGGTTGTTAAGTGAATCTGGTTTTCCCAATGACTTTGCTTGTCCGCAGGTTGCAAAAGGGGATCAGATGACTCTGGGACACCACAACCGTCATAAATGTGAGTCAGTTGTCAAGCATCTGAATATAAATCATGTGACCATGGGGATACTACAACAGTCATAAGTGTGAAAAATGGTCATAAGTCACTTTTTTCAGTGCCATTATAACTTTGAATGGTCACTAAAGAAAATATTGTAATTTGAGGACTAGCTGTATTTGGAAGAGTGCAGAAATGCTGCTTGTTGTGGATTATTATTTTAATGGTTCATCCAATATATTATCTTGATGTTTCATCTAATAGATACTACTAAACTGTGTTTATAATTCTATGTACTTAGTATGATGGTGCAAAGATTAAATTGGGAATTTTACTTGGAGATTCGATAAAATGTTATTCAAACGAATCTGAGAACTTCAGTATCATTTCAACAAATTACATTTGTTCATTTGAAAAACATCTCAATAAAAATGAATTGATGAATTGACTTATTTAGATGCTTGGAATAATTGATAGAAATCAAACTTTTTGAACATTTTCAGTTTCAGAATCAGAACATTGTTTCAGATCAGAATAATTTGATGTTGTAAGGGTAATTTGATTGTGAGTGGTTAGGGTAGTGGTTAAAAGACCTGTAGCTCTTCCACAGTGTGAAATAGTTTTTTCCCCCCAAAAAAAGTGAGTTTGATAAATGTTTTAACAATGTCTAAAGGGGTGTTATAAGAATAGCACCAAATACAAATTCATTTGTAAATGTATAACTGCAAACGGGAACTGCAAAACAGTAGTAGGTATGCAGCAGCAGCAGGATTAACTTTCAAAAACCTGCATTTGCAAATAAAAAAGATAGATAATTTAAAGTACTAGGAAGATTAACAGGCCTTGCTATAAAAATTGCCTTACTTAACGGATGTCCCTTGTTCACTATCTTTTAAATTACTTCATTCCTTTCAGAAATCTTAGACAACTAAGATCATTTTCTAGACAACTGATGGCAACATGCATGTTCTTTGTGCTAGCATATTCTCAGTAAATGAGTTGTATAGTTACAGGTTATTTTTTTTAAGTAGTATTTAGTAGGAAAAAAAAATAGGTGTGCTTTTTCTTTAGTCATCTGAAACTTCCAGCTTCACATTTGGGAAATTCCCTTTTATTTTTGTTTTGGGGAAATTTTAAAACAGGAAATCGATAATTTAGCTGTCCAGAGGCTTAACACATTCCTTTGCATCTTTAAGGAAAAATGGAAAATTATGCTGTCAAAGACAGCAATTGGGATATTAAATATTTCAGTTTTCTTTTGCATTACAGATCTGTTTTATAGACCTTTAAGTGTGAGAATTAGTCATTAAGTTATTTTTTTCATCACAGTTGTAACTGCAAACAGTTGCTAAACAAGGCAGTTGCCAGATAAGGGCTACCTGTATTGTCTAAGATGCTGGGATAGAAAATGACCATAAGCTCAAGTCTCCCCTTGGCCATGAAAGATGGCTGGGTGATATTGGGTCAGTCATTTTGTTCCCATCAACTTACAGGATTGTTGATGTGGGGAAAATAGGAAGCATGGGCATGAAGCATGTTCACAGCCTTGAGTTTGGCAAAAAGTAAAAGTGGGCTAAAAATTGGGTTGGAAGTTAGCAAGCCTGTGTTTGAGACTCAAGTGCTGCTGTATGGTGGGGTGAGCTCCCATCATTTGTTCCAGTTCCCTAATGGGGACATGAAAGGAGCTCCCATGGACATCCCCTGAGCAACGGTGATGTTACTGGCTAATCCTTTCAACCGGGAAGTGCCTTAAATCAGGGGTGTCAAATTTGTGGTATCATGTTGTTGTCACGTAACGTATCATGACTTTTTTCCTCTTCACTAAACCAGAGGTGGGTGTGGCCAGTGCGTGATGCATCCAGGCTGTGGGCCACAAGTTTTACACCCCTGCCTTAAATGGTGCCTCCAATATGAATGGGATGGGAGTCCATCCACTGGACAAGCTGAATCCATTAATTTAAGCCTGAATGACAGGGTTAGAAACATTACCTTGACTGAGATGAAATAAATCCATCAACCAATCAATGCAACTGTTCAATATTTGCTAAGGTTTATTCCATCTCCTTAGTGAGTGGACCGACTTTGAACAATACCCTTTATAATGTTCCTTGGAAAAGTAGCACTTGAACTTACATTTGTGGTGATTTTCCATTGCCAAAGCATTAAAAAGGATTCAATGAATGATGTGCAAGTCATGTGAATGCATAATTCCAAAGTCTGCTAATTTTGCATAATGTTCCCCTCTCCTACAGATGCCAATCACAGACCTGGTGGCAGGGTACCTACAAAAAAGATAAACAATAAGATGAAATTGTCCCCCTAAGACTATGGTATAAGTCATACATATTAATGATGACAAATAATAAAGGGTTCATTAATGAAAGCATTACTGCTAGGAGGACCAGATGCTATTATTTACTGAAATGCTGTTGGGATGTGGGAAGCCACTATGATTATTCAGATGCAATTTTAACATGAGAAACTGCAGCAAACCTGGCAATGAAATTACAGCTATTGACAAAGTTAAGGTTATAATTTCCCTTCATTTTGCACATTTTGGCAGTAAGGTTTGAAAAATTTACTGATTCTTATAATAATAATAATAATAAACTTATTTCTTAAGTTTTACCAGATGAATCTGGTCTTCCAAAAGACCAAAAAAATTTTTCCAATCCATAATTAGATTTACTTAGATTTCCTTTTGTTTTCTCTCCTCTCCTCTCTCTGTAATTAACTGCTATTTTCTCCTATATCTAACTGTTTTTCTGTGCCTTGCATAAAATTGATTATCCCAACACAGGAGAGTATGACCGAATGGCTGTGGGTATTGCCTCCTAAAGACTATGTTGACTGTCCATCCTTGGTTCTGGGGGGGGGGGAGAAATTGTCCCCCTCAGAACGGGCTCTCAATTTGGGTGTCCTCCTAAACTCGCAGCTAAGATTAGAGCAACATCTGACAGTTGTGGCTAGGGGGACCTTTGCACAGGTTCACCTGGTGCACCAATTGCAACCCTATTTGGATTGGGAGGCTCTCCTCACGGTCACTCATGCCCTTATCACCTCACGGTTAGATTATTGCAATGCGCTCTACATGGGGCTACCCTTGAAAAGTGTTTGGAGACTACAGTTGGTCCAGAACGCAGCCGCGCGAGCTGTCATGGGTGCACTTAGGTACACCCACATTACACCAATTCTCCGTGAGCTGCACTGGCTCCCTATTGGTCTCTGGTCACAATTCAAGGTGTTGGTTATTACCTTTAAAGCCCTACATGGCTCAGGGCCAGGTTATCTTTGAGACCGCCTTCTTCCGCATAGCTCCCAGCGACCGGTAAGATCCCACAGAGTTGGTCTCCTCCAGGTGCCATCAGCTAAACAATGCTGGTTGGCAGGCCCGCGGGGGAGGGCCTTCTCTGTGGCTGCCCTAGCTCTCTGGAACCAGTTACCTCCTGAGGTCTGGACCATCCCTACCCTATTGGCCTTCCGAAAAGTGGTGAAGACCTGGCTTTTCCGGCAGGCCTGGGGTCATTGATCTCGCTCTTGCGATCTGGCAAGATCTGGCCATGAATGGTATGAATGAGTTTTAATGTTTTTAATTTTTAAATGTTTTTTATTAGGATTTTAAGTGTATTGTGAGCCTCCCTGAGTCTTCGGAGAGGGGCAGCATATAAATTGAATTAAATTTAAATTTAAATTTAAATTGATGGGGTATGCATTGATGCATAATGCAATCACTGATAGCAGCAATAGCAGCCACAAAATTCTAAGCTAGGATTAAAAATAGCAAATAACACTTTGCTTGAGGAAATTCAGATG